CTGAGGGCAAGCATTTTATATACTCTAATGGAAACATGGAAAGAACGTCTGCATAAGAGGCTTTGCACAAAAGATTCTACACTTGCTCTTAGCCAAAAGGCCGAGAAGTGATTGAACAGAAGATTCTGCAGAAACTCTGTTTATACAGGGTTTTGTGTTCTTGCTGTTCAATCAGTACTGTATAATTCATCTCCCAGAAATAGGCACACAAATCTTGGTGTAAATTTAAAACAATGGCCAGCAGTGATTAATTTGTTCACCCCAGCTGGTTCTTGTAAGAGGGAAGCAATTATACATGATGCCATCCAAGGTGCCCTAAACCTGATCACACTTTCCAATCTGTCTTCCTGTATTTCTCCTTCTCTTTGGTGTCTTGGGGTGGGGGGGTTCATTGCCATTGCCACCACACATCTCAGACATGTTGTTCATCTATCAATACTTTAATATTCTGGCCTACATATTTTCAAGTTCTTTATATAACTGAAGTTTGACTTCAAACTAGGACTCCAAGATGATTAAGATTACTTAAGATTCTAAACTTTGTGCATGGAATTGTTCATAGATTTGATTTGGGGAAAATAATTATTATGGCTTAATTATTATGGCTTAATTTTTTGGTAGAATACAAACACAAACCAAGTGCTTGTGTTTAATTCCTCAATGATTCTGCAATACTAAGCAAGATTATTATGGAAACAAGACAGCATTACCAGCGTAAAACTAGCCATACCTTAGAGTTAAGCACTGGGTAGGGAAAGTTAGAGTAGTTTTCTATCAGCTATTGATTGCTGTACAATGGATTAAACTTAGCAGGTGGGAATAATAAACATTTATTGTTTCACAGTTTTCCAGGGCTAAGAATCTCAGAGGAGCTTACTAGGTGGTTCAGGCTCGAGGTTTCTTACAAGGGCTGCTTAGAGTCATCAGCGAGGGCGGCAGTCATCTGAAGTTTCTGATGGAAACCTCCAGTCACCTACACTGGGTGCAAATGAGCTCAGAGGGTGACAGAGAGCGCTCACGGTGGAATTCCATCTTTTTACAACAGATCCTTGGAAGTGACATCATTCCTGCCAAGAGCTACTCATTAGGAGTGAGTCAGTATTTCCAGCCCACACTGAATGGGAGGGAACTCACAAGGGAATGAGTACCAGGAGGTGGAGAGGACCACTGGGGACGATCTAAGTGGCTGCCTACCACAAGTTCATTTACTGTAGGAATTGAAAAGTACAGTCATGCATCATGGGACATCACGGATGTATTCTGTCAAGTGCATTAGGCAATTTTGTCATTGTGTGAACATCACAGAGTGGATTCAGCCAAACCTAGATGGTGCATCCTACTACACACCTAGGCTCTATGGTGTACACTGTACCTTTGTTTATGTAGTCTGCCATTGACCAAAACATGATTTTGCAGAGTATGACAATACATATACATTTTTTTCTGGTATTGAGCACTAAACCTAGGGCCTAAGCACCCCCCACTTATTTTGTTTTTGAGACAGAGTCTTGCTAAATTGCAAAGTTTCCCCAGTTGGGATCAAACTGTAACCCTCCTACCTCTACCTGTCAGAGTGCTGGGACTACAGGGGTACGTCACCACGCTCAGCTTGCATGATTGTACTGAATATGCAATTCATCATTGTGGGACTGTGGGGTAATATAAACTATCTTTCCAACTGTTTGATCTAGAAGTCCTTCTATTTGCTTTCATTCTGCCAGTTTGTATCTACCTATCTATCTACCTACTTATCTAACTAGAGTGTTCTAAAGAGTTTATGGCCAAGATAGAATCTTTGGACTAGGGAATTTATTAGAAACCTAAAACCTCAGGCAATACCCCAACCTATTTAATTATGAGTAACATCCCTTATTTTGGAGTATACAGTGTTTGATATTAATATAACTACTCAGTTTTGATTGGTATTTATATGGCATATCTTTTTTTTGCATCATTTTTTTTATTACATTTTAGGGTTTCTCGTAGACTGTATAAGTAAGCTTAGCTGACAATGTCTACCTTAGCTGGCAATATCCACTTTTTAATTAGGGTGTTGAGGCCATGTGTGATTTATATAATTATAAATATAAGAGGATTTAAATCTACCATCTTTTTATTTGTTTTCCATTTGTCTATTCTTCAACCCTTTCCCCTTATATTTTTGCTTTCTTTTAGATTATTGTATTATCCCATTTTGTCTCTACACTAGTTTATTACACTTCTTTTTAAAAGATTTGAGTGTTTGTTCTAAGGTTTACAGTATATATCCTTAACTTATTAGCCTAACTTCAAGTACTATTATTTAATATATGATGTAAGAACTTTATAACAGTATGCTTCCTTCTCCTTTCATCCTTTGTTGTGTTGTCATATATTTTACTTCTAAGGATGTATAAACATCACAATACATTGCAATTTCTTTTGCTTAACATAATTATCTTTTAAAGCGATTAATTTCAAAGCTTTGCTTTCATTTTTGTTATTTCTGGAGCTGTTTCTGTGTGTTGATACAAATTTCCATCTGCCACATATTCTTTTTGTATGAAGAACTTCTTTTAACATTTCTTGTAGTGAAAGTCTATTAAAAATAGGAAAAGCAATACTTGCCTTCAATTTTTAGAAGATATTGTAGCTGGGTATAGAATTCTGAATCAGCAATATTTTTTTCTTCATATTTCAAATATGTCAGTCCATATTCTCGGCTTACATGGTTTCTGACAACATGGTATTTCAATAAAGCTTCTTTACATATGTTTACTAAGGGTGTACCACATGAATACTGTAAATATTTAGTAAGTTACTGTCTGCTCTTTTATTTCCCTACTGATTCATCTGCAAGAAAATGTAGTCATCATTCAATAATCTATTCTGTTTAGTCACTTTTCACAGTGGCATCCAAAGTTAAACCAAATAAAAACAACTGTCTTGCAAGAGGCAGTGCATACATCACTATGGAACTTCGAAAAAACTGGGCCAGAAATGGCCATTTCTCTGGAGACAGACTGCAAGGGTGACCCATGGCTTATTTTTTAAAAATATTCCCCCTGAAGAATCCCTTACAAGGAAATTTCTGGACACTAAAAAGTCATATATGGTGCCTAGGGCTTAAGGGCAGTTGGCTAAGCCTTCCTTTAGATCAGGGAAATCCTACTCCATCCTGCTCAGACCTTCAGGAGAAATGAGGCTGAACTATTTTTAAGAGGGTGATTTCGAACATTAGATTTTGTAAGGGATCTCAGTAGAAGGCCAGTTACTAAACAGAAAATGACTTTACGTCCTCGAGTATGGAATATTAAATCACATTAATGGGTTTCTGGCTCCTTAAGGTCTGTTCTTAAAACTCCTAATTATCAATCTTAAGACTAATACAATATATCTTTATATATTTTAATCCAATCTAATTTTGAGGCATGATTGTTACATCGGTGAAGGAACATTTTACATCCCCTCTGTCCTTTTAAATGCTTATTTATGAGCTCACCCATACAAACCATTTATTTTAAGCAACCCAGTTTCCTGTGTGTTGTTTGTTACCAAAAAGAGGAATGAAACAGGTAAAACAAACAGGTAAAACAAAGACACTGGCTTTTATCTATATAACGGTGGCTTGCTGTCACTCACCGGGGCTCCCCAAGCCCATGGGTCGCGGGTCGCATGAGTTTCAGTCAGATCTCACAGAGGAAGCCCTCCGCCAGGCCCTCCTGGCGTCCTACAGTCTCCGGGGTGGGGAGGAGCTTAGTGGAGGGCGGGGCGAGGCCGGACATAGGGCGGAGCGATCCCTTGAGGGGGCGGGGGGAAAACCAGGAGGAGGCGGGGAAAGGTGTAAGTAGGCGGGGCGCGGCCGCGAGGAGGGCGGGGACGCGG